TTTCTTGATTTTCTTGGATTGCACTTACTTTTTTCTAATTTTTCTTGATCTCTATTATTTGATTTTTAAAGTTCTTTTAAAGTTCCTCTGAGAATTCTTTTTAGCTTGGGACTATTTGATGTTTCTCATTGAAGAAAAAGTGGCTTTTTTGCTCCATTATCTTCCTCTGAATATGAATCCAGATCCTTTCTATCCTCATAGTAGCTATCTATAGTTGGGTTCTTTCTCCTTTCTTACTCATTTTTATTTATCTTTTTGTTTTATTTTCTTTTTAGCAGCTATTAGTAATCAAGTTTTTCAGTTGTATGTACATTTATAAAAATGAAATGTTTATATAGAGAACCAAAGGACAATAATATCAAAATTAAAAGTAGGAATGAGAAAAATTTAGCTTACCAATTCTCAAATTAAATTATAAAATTCTGATTATTAAAAATTATTTGTTACTTTAAAAAAAAGATAATCAGTGAAACAGATAAGACCTAAATGTAAACTTGAATAGTAGTCTGATATTTTATAAACCCAAGTACATAAGCTACTAGGGAAGAGAATTTATAACAACAGTTTCTGGGTGAGCAGAAATTAAAGTAGTTTGATAGAAAACAGGTTTAGGCCAGCATTAACACCATACACCACAATGAATTCTAAAAATATAAATGAGCTAAATACAAAAGTCATGATATTTTTTTAAAGAAGAGAATAAAAGGTTACATGGTTTACAACTATTGTTAGAGGAAGAACATAGAACCAGACAAGTGGGAGATGGGATTACAAAAGTGAGGAATGATTATATAGATTATATAAAATTTTGATAAGGTTTTTCGTGAACAAATTCAATGCAACTAGAATTAGAAGAAAATATATAGATTGGGAAGAAAGCTTTGGGGCAGGTAGGTGGCACAATGGATAGAGCACCAACCCTGGATTCAGGAGTACCTGAGTTCAAATCTGGCCTCAGATACATAACACTTACTAGCTGTGTGACCCTGGGCAAGTCACTTAACCCTAATTGTCTAAAAAAAAAAAAAGACAGAAAGCTTTGTATTTAACCTCCCTGCTAATAATCATGATAATGATAATGATAATGACCCTAGGGGCAAGCAACAGGTTTGTGATTTAATGGTGCAGATTTAAAGTCCCCAAATTCTTAGTAATTCTGTCTTTGGAAGTGTATTTACAGAACATATGAATAGCCCCCATTTACTGGGGGGGACATAAGCTAATTCTCTAATTATGGACTAAGTGGAAGGGATCCCAGCTCTGTCCTAGTGATGGGGTTATGTGCCCACCATTCAGTTTCAGAAGCCGAGACCTTTGCCCCTTTTTGCCAAAAGGAATTTGGCTCCCATTTGTTGACTCCCCTTATCTCTCTTCCAAAGCCTTAGCCTTGCCTTTTGATATGAACTTTTCCTCCCCAGCCCTAAAAAGAACCTCGCTTCTGTTTGTCTCTCTTTATCTCCCTTTGAAAGCAAACTTCTACCTTCCAGTTCCCTTCATTATCTATTCCCATTGTCTGTTTAATCTCTCAGACCTTCCAGATGAAATTCTCACCACCTCCCAACCACTTCCCCGCTTCCTCTGGCCACCCAAAGTTAAGTTCTGTTCACCCCAGCTTAAGAGCCACTCCCATCCAGATCTCCTTAGGCCCTTCCTCCCATCACCCCAAACTACTTGGCCACTCCTAGATCCCTCTCACAGTCTTTCTGTATATAAGGTCCATCTTGTCTCTACTAAGATGCTGAGAATTTCTCATGCCCAAAAGGCTGAGACTCTCATGCCCGCTCGTCCTTACGGGCGTCACCTGGCTTAAGATCCACCTTAGCCCCCATTTAGAGGCTGAGAATCTCTCATGCCTAGAGGCTGAGGTTTTCTCATGCCTGCTCATCCTTACAGGCACTACTGATGTTTGGGTTCCTTGGGAGTCTGGCCTATACGCTTTATCTTTAATAAACTATTTCTCTGGCTGGAAGAAGATTTGGGTTGAATTCTCTCAGGCAAGCCTGCGTCGTGATCTAGGGGCTCCCAGAACCCAAAAATCTCTAGACCTCTTCACTAGGGAAGGTCACTCATTCCTCTTTGGCTTTCAAAACTGTCCCTAATTCTATATGTGTGTATGTATATTATGAATATGTATATATATGTATGTGTATATTATATATGTATATATACACATATACACATACACACACATATATGAATGTATGTATATATATATAAACACAATGAAATATGAAGGACAGGAAGGGAAATGATGAATGAAGGAATGAAGGAATGAAAAAGCATTTATTAAGTCCTTATTATGAACTAAGCATTGGGGATATAAATAGAGAAAGAAAGTAGTTTCTGAAACTCACATTCTGATGGGGAAGATAACACATAAAAGAAGTTTCAATTGCAAGTCATATGGAAAGGTACCATGGTCAGTCCTTGGGTACAGCAGCAAAGACAATAGTAATACATGTTCTTTAGGTCCTTAATAGCTGTGGTTGACGAAGACATTGCAGCTGCAACACCCACAGAAGCAGTGGCCAAGTTTTATCTCCACAAGGGTTGCTTCCCAGAATGATGGTAGTGGGAGCTGAGCTAGAAGCAGGATCAAAGGTCTGGGATTAATTGGCATTCCCAGGGCTCTTAGACTTACCTGCCCATTAGTGGCATTTGGTTAGTGTTTAGTACTACTGGTGGCAAGAAAGATGGGTGCGTTCTCCATAGATTTCACCTCTCCAGCTTATTGTATGTACTCTTCTCTCCTCTGACACCAGCACCACTCTAGCTCAGGCCCTCATCACCTCATGTTTGGATTATTGGAATAACCTGCTGATGGCCTGCCTGCCTCAAGTCTCTTCCCACTCCAAGCCATCCTTTGTTCAGCCACTAAAGTGATTTTCTGAAAGCACAGGTCTGATCATGGCATATCCCACACACACTCAATAAACTCCAGTGGCTCCCTATGACCTCCAGGATCAAATACAAAATGTTCCATTTAGCATACAAAACTTCAAAATCTAGCCTCCTCGTACTTTTCCAGTCTTCTTACACCTTACTCCATGACACCTACTCTTTGATCCAATGACACTAGCCTCCTGACTATTTCGTAAATGGAGTATTCCATCCCTCCATTACAGGCATTTTTTTTTTTGCTTTTTGGTGAGGCAATTGGGGTTAAGTGACTTGCCCAGGTCACAGCTAGTAAGTGTCAAGTGTCTGAGGCCAGATTTAAACTCAGGTCCTCCTGACTCTAAAGTCAGAGTTCCATCCATTGTGCCACCTACCTGCCCCGACAGGCATTTTCTTTAACTGTCCCCAATGCCTGGAAGCTCTCCCTCCTCAGATCTGACTACTGACCTTTCTACCATCCTTTAAATCCCCCCAAAAATCCCTTCCATAGCCCCTCTTAATCCCAGTGCCTTCTCTCTGTTAATTATTTCCCCCATTAGATTGTAATCTCTTTAAGGATAGGAACTGTCAATCCAGCCTCGGACACTTGACACTTAATAGCTATGTGACCCTGGGCAAGTCACTTAACCCCGATTGCCTCACACAAGAAAAAAGGAATAGTAAATGTCTTGTGCCTTTCTTTATATCTCCAGCACTTAGCACAGTGCCTGGCATATAATAGGTGTTCAATAAATGTTTATTGGTTGATTGATAGAGATTGTTTTCTTCCATGATGATTGTAGGGGAAAACAGGAAGCAAGGTTAGCAGTCTGGAGGCATTGTTCTCGTGAAGGCACTTGGGTTCAGGGTCCTGGATCGTCTCCATCAAGGTCTAGGGTGGAGGGTGGTGATTGAGGTGATAGCACTGGTTTGATTCATCTGATACTTCCTGAAATCTCTCCCTCATAGTGTTCTGTTGATTCATCTAAACTGACTTGCCTGACCCCAAGGTGGAGACATAAGTATAGGAATTACTTAAAGCTGGAAGGTCTCTTAGAACAAAGATTGCTGGGGATTAGGGGAAGGTGATGCCAGAAAAAAATAACAGAAACGGTCAGAGTTGAGAAGGACCTTAGACTGTAAAATGTCTGCCAGTGAGGAAACAATCATTTATTGAGCACTTACTATTTGCCTGGAACTGTGCTAAGAGGTGGATGAAATGAAAGATAAAAACAGGTCCTGCCTTCACCAGCCTTATTTTCTAATAGGAGAGAAATGTAAATAACTAGATATATACATGGAAGACTGAGGAGGGGGGATGGGATTGAGGGGACCAGGAAAGACCTAGAAAAAAACAGCTGAGCTTTGGGTGAACCTTGAAAAAGGCTAGAGAAACTAAGAGGTAGGTTGGGGAGGGTGAGTATTTCAGGCTTGGGGATCACCAACCACAAAGGTAAGAAGAAGAGAGATTGGGTGTCCTGTGCTAAGGAACATAGAACGTAAGCCAGCATCTCTGGATCTTAGAGTGAGTGGAGAAATGGAAAGCACAAGACTAGAAAATGGACAAGAGGCTAGGCTGTGAAGGGTTTGAAATACCGCCATCTACCTCAGAACACTAAATATAAGGTGTGGTGGTGGGGGGACCTTAGAACAGACAGAACAGGAAATGGAAAAGTAAAGAGAAATCTGGGAACTTAGAATGTGTGTGTGGTAGGAAGGGGTAGAGGAGGGCAGTGGAAGGAGGGGTCGGCTTAGAGCTTTTCTTGTCCGACTTTTCATGTGACAGAGGAAGGCACTAGATCAGTTTCTCCCAAAGATCCCATTGCACCCAGAGGCAATTTCTTTGCAAGGAGAGAAGTCCTTAATTTCTCCCTCTTTTCAACCACCCACAGCTGCCAAGATTCTGGGCCCAATCAGGCCATTGGTCAAAAGAAATCCGGGAGAGTTGCAAGCTACCTACTCCTTCCTTCAGGACTAGGCTGTACTGTCACTTCCCTATTTCTGTTTTGGAGTAGGCTGAGGGAGGGGGTTGACATGTGTGGCCTCAGGCAGCTCCAGCCCCCATGTAAGAAGCTACTGCTGCCAGTAGTGGCAGCAGCAGAGCATCTCAGGAATGCCAGCAGCATGGACTCTGACTCAGTCCCCACAGACTCTGGCATGGTCCCTTGGTTGGAGAGGCACCGGACTCTGTCCTTGGTCTTGACATTCACCCTCGTGCTGCTGCTGCGGCAAGTCGTCAAGCTCTACCTCCGGCACCAGGGACTGCTGCGAGCCCTGCGACCCTTCCCAGGACCCCCGACACACTGGCTCTATGGAAACCAGAAGAAGGTAAGCAGGGGCTCTGATGGGGCTCGGGGTGGGGGGCAGCCAGGACAGAGGGAGGGAGAAGCTGCTGCCCTTGGCCTGACTGACCTCGAGGGCAGGTTTCAGGGCCGAGGGGTCTCCCTCTGTAGGAGGCAGGAGGATAGAGAAGGGCCTTAGGAGTGACACACAGATTCATTCTGGGAAAAATCATTGGGACAGTCTTCCCGACATCTCATGGTCTTCTTCCTCCTGCTTTTACTCCTCCCTCATTGTGCTCTTCTCAGCTTCTTGATGCATCCCGGAAGTCATCAGGGGTCCTGGCTTCAATGGCACCTTCAATCTGTCACTTCACCTCCAGATGGCCCTATAGCATTATCTCCAATTTATCCTGTATAGATCTTGTACATAGGTATCTGCATCTTATCTCCACCATTAGATCGTGACTTCCTTGAAGGCAGGGTGTTTTGTATCCTTAAGGCTTAGCACGGTGCCTGGCACACAGTAGGCTCTTAGTAGGAATGCTGAACATGGAGTTAGGAAGTCCTGAGTTTGAAACCTACCTGAGAAATTTACTAGCTGTATGACCCTGGGCAAATCACTTAACTGCTCTTAGCCTCAGTTCCCTCATCTGTAAAATGAGGATGACAAAAGCGCCTATGTCAAAGGATTGCTATCAAATGAGATAATATGTCTAAAGTGCTATATAAATGGAATTATGAGTTATACATTGTTATTAAATGCTATATAAGAGCTATCATCATTAATAATAATAATTATAACTATAAATGCTTGCTGACTTGACAATTAGCGAATTAAGAATTTGAACTCACATTTTCAGACTCCAAGTACAAAGTTTGTTCTTCTTTAATTCAATTCAGCAAATTTGAAGCAGCTACTGTGTGCTAGGTATTGTGGGAGACTCAAAGTCTAGCTCCAATCCAGACCCTGCTCTCAGGGAGCTCAGTTTAGAAAGGGAATATCTCTGTCATTTTTTGTGTCTTTGTCTCTTTCTGTATCTGTCTCTGGCTTCTCTCTCTCTCTCTCTTACACACACACATACACACACACACACACACCACACAGGCTCTCACTCTTACTGTCACCCACATTTATACATACACACAATACACACACAGGTGCTCTTTCTCATATACACACAAGCACTCATATACACACATACATACAGACAATACACACACAGATGCTCTCCCTCTCATACATACACACACACACGCACACACACACACGCCCCACACAGGCTCTTGCTCTCACTCTCACACACATTTTTACATACACACAATACACACACACAAGTGCTCTCTCTCATACACACACAGGCACTCTCTCATATACACACACACACAAAGCTGTAATATCTGAATGACACAACCAATACATTCTACAAGAACAAGCACAAGGCCATGCAGGGTCCCATGAAAGCATCAATGAAAGCTTCAGCAAGGAGCTGGCCCTCAGGTGAGTGCTGGTGTTCTGAGGGCAGCTTGAAATTTGTAAAGGGAAAGCAATTTGTCATATAAGGATAGGGTGAGGAAACTGTGGGTGTGTAGCCTGGAGTAGAGAAGACTTCTACCTAAATACTTAACTTCATGTATGTCTGTTTGTCATATGGAAGATTGATTTGAGCTGACTTGTTCTGTCTGCCCACAGCGGGCAGAACCAGGAACAAGGCTGTAGGGTGGGGGTGGGGGAAGAGCTGCAAAGAGGCCAATCTAGGCTGGATATCAGGAAGAACTTCCAGACAGTGAAAGTGGCAGGGTGGGAGGGGCTGCCCTGAGAGACGGGAAGCTCTCCCTCTTTGGAGATGTTCAAGAAGTCTCGAGATCTCTTGTTGGGGTTGTTACTGTAGGGAATCTCTTAGTATATGGTTGGAATTAGATGGTCACTGTGGTCTTTCCAATGCTTAGAATTCAATGATTCTCTAATTGCGTGTGAATGGGAAGGGAAAGAGAAGGACTATTTATTAAGTACCTACTATGTGCCAAACACCATGCCGAGTGCTTTATTAACGCTATCTCGTTTGATCCTTACAACCCTGCAAAATAGATGACATTATTATCCCCATTTTACAGCTGAGGAAAATGAGGCAAACAAAAGTTAAATGACTTACCCAGGTTCACACAACTAGTGTCTGGGATCAAATTGAATTCTGGTCTTTCAAACTCCAGGTCAATTACTCTATTGCCTAGAGCACCACCTAGCTGCCTCATCATGAAAGGGAATAATTGAATAATCCTGGGACAACAGGCTGGAATCAGAATGTGATACCCCTTAAATATCAGGATGTAGAGTTTTTATTTTATCCTTGAGGCAATAGGGAATAACATTAAGTTTTTGAGCTGGGTCAGAAAGATTGTTTTGGCAGCTAATGGGAAGATAGGTTAAAGACACAAAATACTTTCCCATTTTGGAGACCAATTAAGAAGTTTTTTCAATAGTCTAGATAAAACATGATGGGGAAGACGCTAGGCTAGTTCCTATGTGTATATATAAACATATATGTGTAGAGAGAAAGAGATATGACACGTAGGCCAAATCAGCAGGATTTTAAATCAATGAGCATAGTGTGAGAGAAGTTGAAGAAAAGAGAAGGAGAGGATGCTAAGCTTTAGATCAGGCCTGTAAAACATATGGCCCATGGGGTCACCAAAGGATTGAGGGTGGCCCATGAAAAATGTAGAGAATGTAAAAGAAAGTAAAGATGTAATGAGTGCTTTGTCCATGCCCCACTTAACCCGCCTTCCTCTAGTCACTATTGTGCCCATCATATAACTTGGTGGGTGGGTTGCCACTGTGCACACCCTCTCCTGTTTATCACATGACCCACAGCAACCAACCATCATCAGTCTGTCTCTAGTCTGAAAGGAGAGAGTCATATCTTTTTGCTGTGTTTTCAGTCATTAGCATCATTGAACAAGGGCAGAGTGAGTGCAGCCACGAGCCAACGCAACTGACACCCACTATGTGTTGAGCAGCAAAAACATGAGGGCTTCTTTCCCTCCCTCACTGCACAGCCACCCTCCAAGTTACATGAATGTCTGTCTGGTATTTTCTCCAAAGTCAAGACACTCAGTTCAGCATTTCTTGGTATGTGAGCAGTTGCTATGGAGATTTTTTGGTTCTAACATTAAAGTTCTGGAATGACTTTGTAAAATGGGTAATAAAAAAATGGAAGATCATATCAGAACACAGAGTGTTTAATCCAGAGTAGACAAATAGATACTTGTTTACCTACACAAGAGATAAAATATTGTGCCTTATTTGCCAAGAAGTAATAGCCATTCCAAAGGAATACAATCTTCATCGCCATTTCAAATCAAAACATCCTGACTTAAGCAAATTGGACAATAAAAAACAATATTAAACAATAAAAACAAATAAATGAATGATAAAAACAAATAAAATACAATAAAAAACAAATTAAAGCATCCAAATTGTTGGAAAATCAGAAAAGAAACTCAGAAAATGAAGCAGCTACTAAGGTTAGTTTTCAGATTTCTAAAGAAATCAATTTCAAACATGATTCTAGAGTATGATAAACTGATTGCTGACAAGAAGTGTAATAGGACCCATTAACTAAATGTAAACAGTAAGAAAAGCCTGAAAAATGTATTAAAACTTGTACTGCTTAGCAAAGTAACTTTTAAACATTAATGTGATTTCATAATAAATAAAAATTGGGAGTAATATATGTATTAATTTATATAATTGAAATTTTCCTATCTTTTAAAAATGGTTTATTTGCAAAATAGCTTAATCATTAATTATACCTTTGGAAAGTGAACTGTTAAAAACCTATCTGCAGCCCAAAGAAGTTTAGCCTATTATAACTTTGGCCTCTACCTACTGCCAAGTTGTACTTTAGAATCTGTGTGACTGGCTGGGGAGTAATGTCAAGAGAGCCTAGGAAGTTGCTAAGGTCAAAGGCTTGGAGAAGAAAAGTGATGGACTCTTCCTCTTCCCCCATCCTCTCCCTGTCATAGCTGAACAATCAGAGCTTCAGAACACATCTGTACAGTACAATTGGGTGTTAAGGCTTCACAGAGAAAGAGAAAGCAACTTGGTGGAGAATATTAGATTTAGAGTCTGCCCTAGCTCTGTTACTTTCTACCTGTGGGAACTTGAGCAAAGATGGGACCCTTTCTGGTCCTCAGTTTCCTCCTCTGTACAGCATGGGGGGTGGACTAGATAATATCTCTAAATGCATGACCCTAGTATCCCACAAAAAGGACTGTCTTTCCATAGCTGTCCCCCAAAGGCATTATAGGTAAATAATTATGAGTTCTCTAAGGGCATCTATGAGCCCTCCTCTCTGGTTTGTTTGTGGAGACCTAGAAATGTTGAATCTGGGATGTAGCTGAAAGGTGAACATAAGTTTCCCAGTAGCCTATCAGTCTAAGCTGTCTACATAAGGTTTACTTCCCCAGGGAAGGGCATGGAAAATGGCTCCATTCTATGTACAGCTGATTGAATGACAGCAAAGCCTGATTACTTCTTTCTCCTTACACCATCACCCCCAAGATCCAGAGGGAAAAAAGAAATGGACTGGGATGGCAACATGGCAGATCTAATCACCATTTCTTTTCTTTTTTTTTTTTTTTTCTTAGGCAGTTGGGGTTAAGTGACTTGCCCAAGGTCACACAGCTAGTAAGTGTCAAGTGTTTGGTCTGAGGCCGGATTTGAACTCAGGTCCTCCTGACTTCAGGGCTGGTGCTCTATCCACTGCACCACCTAGCTGCCCCTAATCACCATTTCTTAAACACATGCTCTGGGTAGAACTTTGAACTCAGGGAAGGAAACAATGAAGGTAGGGAGGAAGGAAGGAAGGAAGGGAAGAAGGGAGAGAGGGAACAAGGAAGGGAAAGAGGGAGGGAACAACAAACGGGGTGAGGGAGGATAGACTGAAGGAAAGAGAGTGAAAAGGAAAGGAGAGAAGGGAGGGAGGGAAGGGAGGAAGGAAGGAAGGGAAGAAAGGAGGGAGGGAAGAATAATAAAAATAATACAGT